GAGTGACAGGGGGCAGAGCCCCACCCCCCTGATCGTCCCTGCTGTGTGTGACAGGGGGTGGCTCATCAACCCGCCAATCGTCCCTACCCTGAGCGTGATTGAGGGAGGCATCGCACCCTCCCGATCCCCCCTTCTCTGTGCATGAGGGGGTGGTCCCCCAATTCCCCAATTGCCCCTCTTTAGAACCAGTCCAGGGCCTGCATTTAGGGATTGGCCCTACCCTCTTCCACCCGGGAGCAGGCTTAACCCACCAGGTCGTTATTTCCCGAGGGGTCCCAGCTGGCTTGAGGGCCCAGGCCGGCCTAGGGGACACCCCCCCCCCCCCGAGGGCACAAATTTTTGTGCACCGGGCCTCTAGTGTTATATAAAATGGAATCAAGCAGTGTTGAAACTTTGAGGCTGGCTTTTCTTTTTTTTTTAAATGATGTTGTCATTCTTTTAATATACTGCTCTCTAGACCAGTGATGGCGAACCTATGACACGCATGTCAGTGGTGACACGCGAACTCTCATTTTTTTGGTTGATTTTTCTTTGTTAAATGGCATTTAAATATATAAAATAAATATCAAAAATATAAGTCTTTGTTTTACTATGGTTGCAAATATCAAAAAACTTCTATATGTGACATGGCACCAGAGTTAAGTTAGGGTTTTTCAAAATGCTGACAGGCCGTGCTCAAAAGGTTTGCCATCACTGCTCTAGCCAGTACATACTGAAAGTTGCATATTGCTAATCTTTTTTTTAATTAATATATTTTACTGATTTTTTACAGAGAGAAAGGGAGAAGGATAGAGAGCTAGGAACATCAATGAGAGAGAAACATCGATCAGCTGCCTCCTGCACACCCCCTACTGGGGATGTGCCTGCAACCAAGGTACCTGCCCTTGACCGGAATCGAACCTGGGACCCTTGAGTCCGCAGGCCAATGCTCTATCCACTGCGCCAAACCGGTTAGGGCTGAGGCTAGCTTTTTTCCACTAAATATAACAACAAAAACTGAGAAATAGTAGATTTTTAAAAGATAATACTTACTACGGAATCCAGAAGAATGTTTTCTGGTTTCAAGTCTCTATCAAATTAAAAGGAAAGAAAAGCAAATGTGAATATTAGCCGAAATAAAATGAGAAGGAGACATTTTTTACAAGTAATATTTAAAAAACTTACCTGTACACTATTTTGATGGAGTGCAAGTAACCCAATGCGCTGGCGATTTCAGCAGCATAAAACCTTGCTCTGTGTTCAGGAAAGGACCGTTCTCTTTGTAAGTGAAAAAACAGCTGTAAAATTAAGATCATTCACAGAGTGAAACAAATATGTTCTATAAATATAAAAATAGGGCTTGTTTTTGATACTTTGCACCAAGCACAGAACTGTGACTCTTCCTTGTGTGTGGCCCCAACTTAGCAATCACGGTCTCTCCTCAACCACACGTCTTTCATTACCCTGCTAACTTACTCATCTCCCATTTACCCGTCAATCCTCAATGTGGCACTGTCCTCACCACTCCAGGCAACCACTCTGGAAAAGACCACCAGTGCAGACCAATGATCTTGACCTTGCCATGTACTTACAGTAGCTTACTGGACCTATTTTGACTGTTCTTTCCTTTGGAAAAACACCAAACACTATTCAGAGATTGGAAACTAGTGGTTAGCAGACCAAATATAACCCACAGATATAATTTGTTTGAGCCAAATACTGTTTTTAGAAAACTCTAAATTAAATAGTAACATATAAAAACTAGAAAAAGTTTTTGGTAAAAATTGGTTTCTTTTGGGGGAAAAAAAAAAAAGAGAGCTCTGCATCATGGAGCCTAAATTCCAATGTGATAGCAAATGGCTAGAGCTAAGCAGTAGCTGCACTCTCCAGTTCATTTCTTATACTTCCTAATTCTGAATTTATTTTTTAAAACCCGTCTATCCTTTACTCATTAGGTTACCTGCCTGGGTGAAGTTTGCTCAACTTACTCTACGTTTCTTGGCTTCTAAGACAATGACCTGAGAGATAATTATCTCTCCCTAGATCTTCTGCCTCTTGGAGAGTTCTATTTCCTCTCCTTTCTGGCTCCTTACTCTGCAGGGATTAACAAGGTTTCTCTGTCCTGGGTTTCTCCACTGTTATTCTTTGTATGCATACCATCCAGGTAACCAAATCCAATCGAATGACTAACCAGCACCTCTATGTGGATGTCTTTCACGTGGACGCCTCTAGCCCAGACCTCTGCTTGGAGCTCCTACTGCAAAGACATGCTGCTCTTTTTTTGAATATTTCATAAGCCAATAAATTCAACTTGTCTTCTCTTACAGACTTACTGTTCCTGCTGTCTCTCTAATGATATCGCTTTCTACCCAGCCCTCTACGCCATGGGAGGCAACCAAGATACAGGGGAGAGTCAGGTTTCACAGCTGATCAGATTTGGGTTCAAGTTCTGATTCTTCCCTTTTGGTGTGCTTCTCTGATTTTCCAAGATTGTCCAAAATTTTTTTCTTAAAACTCTTCTGAAAGGTGAGGGTGAAGATCAGTGCCAGATCCTGACAGAGTAGATAAACGGGGGCTGAACTGGGATTCGCCTGTACTGCTCCTTTACCCTTAGCCCCTGCATCCAACCCAGAACAAATTCTTCTCTTCTAATTATTTCTGAACTACTTCCTCCTTTTTATCCCTACCACGGTTTTTACTAGCTGTAGCATACACCACTGTAATATTATATTTAATGATATCCTGATTACATCTCTCCAATATAATGCTAATGAAAATCACCCCAAATGAAAATCCGACCATCCACTAATAACAGCTAACACTGACCACCCACTAAATCAAAGGCACTATGCCAAGGACTTTGTATGCTTGTGTTATTTAATCCATCCAACTATTTGGAGGTAGGAAACTAATGAGAAAGTTGAGGTTCAGAAAGGCTCGTTTATATGCCCAGCACCATAAAACTTATTTGTTTATACTCTACCTGGCTCCAAATCAGATCTGAAGTAGTATACAATGATAAATATCACATGTCAAAGTTAAAATGTCAGTATGAATATTAGGGAAAATAATAGTAATAACAGGATACACACGATGAAAGTACACTCCTTCGATCTCTATCTTTTCTCCTTGTCTTTTTTTTTTTTTTTAATCCTCACCCAAGGATATTTTTCCATTGATCTTTAGGGAGAGTGGAAGAGAGAGGGAGAGCCAGAGAGAAATACACATCGATTGGTTGCTTCCTGCACAAGCTCCGACCAGGGCCCGAGCCTGAAACCGAGGTACGTGCCCTTGACCAGAATCGAGCCCGGGGCCCCTTCGGTCTGCAGGCCAAAGCTCTATCCACTGAGCCAAACTGGCTAGGGCTCTCCTTGTCTTTATTCCTCTTCTACCTATTGCCCCACTCAACTCCGCCTCCATCCACCCCAACATTCTGTTTCATTCTCTTCCCCCTCTCACCTATCTCAGCCAAGAGTACCTTTTCAGAAGACAAGCCTGCCTCTTTCCTCCTTTGCCACTAAATTTATGAGCAGTCATTGTGAAAAAGGAACTCAGAAGCAAAGTCTTAAAGCAGCATGAAGAAACCACAGGCAAAGCAGGAAACGTGCAGTAGGATCTCATTTGCGGTTAGAGGCCTCGCATGACATTTCAAAGACACATAGTGGTACCTATATTTATGTTAAATACAGGGTCTGACACTTACTAGAACATTGTGGCATTGAGAAAGTTACTTAGCTTCTCTGAGCCTTCATTTCCTTATCTATAATATGGGTATAAGAGTGTTTATCTCAAAGAGTTGTGATGAGCCCTGACCGGGCATCTCAGTTGGTGATAGCATTGTTCCCATATGCCAAGGCTGTGGGTTCGATCCCTGGTTAGGGCACATACAAGAATCAACCAATGAATGCATCAATAAGTGAAACAAACAAACAAAAAAATCGATGTTTCTCTCTCTCTCTAAAAAATCAATTTAAAAAAAGTTGTGATTAATTGAAATAATGCATATAAAATAATTACGAAGTACCATGCCCTCAATAAACTCATTATATGTTAGCACGTGCGTACGCGCACATACACACACACACACACACACACACACACACACACTAAAATACCAACTTTCTAGGGGGGAACAATGTGGGGCCACATTTATCTCTGAATCAGGATGTTGCTCTACACTGAGAAGATACAAGGCATTTTTGTCATGGATGCAGGGGATTGAATAATGATTCTTTCTATGATCTTACCCTCAAATGATCTAGCTGTGTTTGATCACCTGTCAGTTTGTAGAACAGAAATTGGTCTTCCTTCTTGTTCCTTTATTCTACAGTTATGTGTACTATAGTAAGGCTGAAATATTCTCTCTCTCTCTGAGACGAGGAAATGGAAGATCCCTTTGTAAAGATATGAAAATACCTGCCAGTTAAAGTAATTTTTAGAGATATTCACAGATCAGAGATCAAATAAATCAGAATGACATGAGACTTGAGAAGCAGAGAAATAGGGGGTGGTCAGCTGCCTAGATCCTGGAATCACACGGCCTGAGTTCAATTCCTGGCTCCAATACTTACCATATAACTTGAGCAAGTTAGCCAGCTTCTCTGTGCTGTTTCTTTGTTTTATATAATAAAATTGTTGTTGAAGATAAAATAATACAAAGAATCAGAGTGCTGGGCCTATAAGTATACTCGATACATGTTAGCTATTACTATAGTTATTATAATAACAGCAGCATTTCCCAAAATGTATTTCAATATCCCTTTGATCCAGAGTTTTGGGGAATATTATTAACAGATTTGGCTCAAACAAACAAGGGGACTATGTAGTAAAACAGTATTTTTAAAGAAATCCTGGCTAGCCCTAGCTGGTTTGGCTCAGAAGTTAGAGTGTCAGCCCGCAGACTTACTGGTCTCATGTTCGATTCTGGTCAGGGCGTGTTTGCGAGGCAACCAATTGATATCTCTCTCACATGGATATTTCTCCATCTCTCCTCCTCCCTTCCACTTTCTCTACAAATCAATGGGAAAATATCCTCAGGTGAGGATTAACAACAACAACAAAAAAGACATCCTGGGTTTGTTTAAGGCAAACTGCTCAAAGTCTTTCACATGGGGAAACACGTTGCGAATCACCAAGAAACATACTGTTAGTCACCAATGGGGTATAACATGAAACTGACTCCACCACAGAACCCTTTATTAGAGGTTCATCTCATCTGATTGATAGTTTGAACACTTTAGAACATGACAGGCTAATATTATTTGACTTACATGTGGAATCCTATGAGCAAAATAAACTGACAAACAATAGAATCAAAGGCGTGGATGGTTACATGGAACAGACTGACAGCTGTCAGAGGAGAGCGGGTTTTGGGAGCTGGATGAAAAAAGGTGAACAAAAAAACACACAGACAAAGACAACAGTGTGGTGACAGCCAGAGACAAAGGGGGCCGCGGGGAGGTGGAGGCGGGCAAAGCGGGGATAAATGGGGATGGAAAGAAACTGCATTGGGCAATGGGCATGTAATGCAATGTGCAGATGATGGTTTGCTGAGTTGTACACTTGAAACCTGAATGACTCTGTGAACAATGTCACCCAATAAATTCAATAAAAAAAGAAAATGACAGGGTATAGTAGTATTTATATACAAGTATTAAAGCAACAATTATCTAAATTATAAATCATGTTTTATTCTAATATTTCAGTATGTTATTCTTGCTTTATAGGAGTGCCAAAACTATCCACAAAGACTGCAACTTCATGTTAAGTTTCTTTTATGAACCTCCCCACCTACACCATAAGCTGATTTAAGAAGAGCTTTGAGCCCTAACCGGTTTGGCTCAGTGGATAGAGCGTCGGCCTGTGGACTCAAGGGTCTCAGGTTTAATTCCGGTCAAGGGCATGTACCTTGGCTAGGGGCACATCCCCAGTGGGGGGTGTGCAGGAGGCAGCTGATCGATGTTTCTCTCTCATCGATGTTTCTAACTCTCTATCCCTCTCCCTTCTTCTCTGTAAAAAATCAATAGAATATATTTAAAAAAAAAAAGAAGAGCTTTGAGCTGGCATCATGCTTATTAGCCAGCACCTTAAATATTGTTGCTACTCGACAAATCGCAGTTGATGCTGGAGCAACCTTCCAAAAATGTATAAGGAAAGAAAAACTTTGACTTGATTCTATTTTTCCTAAACAGTATCAGTATTATAAAACTAATTATAAAACTCACCTCCCCTCCATTGACAAAATCCAGAACAAAATAAAGCTTTTCAGTTGTTTGGAAGGAATAATGTAATCCAACCAAAAATGGATGCTTCACATTTTTCAAGAGCACATTACGTTCAGCCATAATATGTTTTTGCTGTTAAAAAAAAAAAAAGGTAAAGGATCAACTTGTATCATACACAATAAAATAGCTTTGTTAATTGAAAAGAGGGGCTTAGGAGAAACAAAGCTCTTTTATTTCACCTCTCTTCTGTTGAGAACGATTTTTTTCTGTAACACTTTGACAGCATAAAATTTTCCATCCAGTTTCCGTTTTGCAAGAAGAACCTGTTTTAATTAGAGATTGCGCAGACTATTAGAAATGTCAATACTTTAACAGCAATAACTCAGTTGTAAATAAATCAATACTTAACAGCAATAACTCAGTTGTAAATAAATCAATACTTCTTATACAATCAATTGTATAAAAAGTCTACAAAAGACCTAGATAATATAAGGTTGTTTTGAAAAATACTAAATTTATTTCTATAAATCCACTTTTCCTTAAGCATTTCAATAAAACAAAAAAGGATGTTGATCATTTGAATAGCCAGGCACCATTTCTTTGTGTGCTGATGTTTGAGATTTTTACTAAATTTAAGTACCAGAATCTGTACTGTTGTAGATCTTTATGCCCGCGTGTGTGTGTGTGCCAACCATGAGTTGAAGAGTGTCCTTAAAAATATTGAGGCTATAAACTTCATGGCTACATTAAAAAAAAAAAGGAGAAGAAAACGGTGTCTAGATGATCAAAATAAATTTTTGTTTTAACTTTTAGGTTTCTCTTAGAGGCTTCACATTCAGAAGAGTTGAGAGGAAGAGGCACCGTGGATAGCTGAGTTGGGTTGTATGCACTTTCAAGGACCTGAAGAAACGTAAGAGGATTTGGCCTCAGAACACAGGTAGACATATACTCAAGATTTTGCAAGTAATTTTAAGAAATTCAAGATGCCCCACAAGTTGTGTAACTATTCAATGACACATTCCCAAGCTTTCTAAGATGATCTGGCACAACAGTGACACTGCTGGGCCTTCCTTCCCTTCTCGTACATCTGTGGTCTTCCTCATCCAACCTATAACCCCAGGCTAAGCATGAGAAACATATCTGACACATCCCAACAGAGGGACCTCTTCAATAGACCTAACTAGAGCTTCTCAAACCCATCATTCCTCACAACCAAGGAAAGTCTGAGAAACTATCACAGCTAAGAGGAACTTAAGGAGCACACAACTAAATGTAATGTGGTGTGGTGGATGAGATCTGGAACAGAAAAAGGTCAAAACTAACGAAATCTAAATAAATGATGAACTTTAGTTAATAATAATGCATCAGCATTGGTTCATTCATTAGACAAATGTACCATACTAATGTGAGATGTTGATAAAAGGGCAAATTGTGGGTGTAGACTAGGGGATGGTTTGGGAAATCTCCGAACTTTCTGTATTTTTCTCTTTACTCAGTTTTTCTGTAAATCTAAAACTGTTTTAAAAAATGAAGTCTATTAATTTGAAAAAAATGTTTGTTATTCAAAAAGATGTAGTCAAAACATCTTCAGGGTGAAATTGGCCCGCGCTCAACTGGTGGCATTCTTCGCATGTCCCATTCTTTTGTTCTCCGCAATATTTGACTCTGTTGAACGTTCTTTCCTTCTTACACTTTTCCTTTTCTCAGCACCTCACACCTGCCTGACTTTCCCTTCTCTATTTTCATTGGTTCGTCTTCAAGTCCATTCTGAGATAGTAATTCAAATAATGTGACAATTAGGAAGTACTGATTTCCTTCAAGTAGGTATTTTTCCCCCCATTGTAGATTTGGAGAACAGACAAATGGTTAACAAACAAATATGCAGGCCTAGCCAGTTTGGTTCAGTGAATAGAGCGCCAGCCTGTGGACTCAAGGATCCCAGGTTCGATTCCGGTCAAGGGCAAGTACCTCGGTTGCAGGCTAGATCCCAGCCCCACCGGTTGGGGCAAGTGAGGGAAGCAACCAATCAATGTGTCTCTCTCACATCGATGTTTTTCTCTCTCTCCCCTCCCTTACACTATGAAAATCAATAGAAAGTTATCCTTAGATTAGGATTAACAACAACAACAACAATGTGCAAATGAAAAAGTGAAACCAAGACCACTCGCTGGAGAAAAGATAAGAATAAGTGTTAGATTGCCATTATTTATTTTAGCTTATCATATATATTTTTCTATTTTTCAAACATATTGTGAATTTGCATTTTTCTGCTTTTCCTTCTTTTTGTGTATTCGGTTTCTCTTTGTTTTACTGCTCTTTGTTGGTTTCTAATCATTTTGCAAGATTTTTAATTTTTATTAACCAACATATAAGTAAAATAACTCACAGATCATTATAGTTCAGTAAATTATTACAAAATGAACACATTATGTAACCACTCTCCAGGTCAAAAGGTAAAACATTTTGGGTAGCCTGAATTCCCCGCTTTGGCCCCATTCCAGAAACTACTCATCCCTGTCTTCCTCAAAGGTAACCACTATCTCAACTCGTAATAACACCAGTAATTTGATATTATCATTTAAAATTTTTTAAAATTAGAATCATGTAGCATTGTCTCTGACTAACTTCTTTCACTCTAAATTATCTAATACCCATTCAAGTTGTGGCATGTCGTATAGTTTTTAAAATTTTTATTGCTATGTAGACTACTGCATTACACAATTTAATCCACTCTTTTGTTGAAAGACATTTAAATTGCTGATGAATAACAATGTTATGAATATTCTGGCACATGCCTTTCCTAGTGCATATGTGCATGCATTTCTGTTGGATGTATAGCTAGGAGTAGAACCAATGTGTCATAGGTATTGCATAATTCAGCTTCAATAAATAACAAGTTTCAATCAGCATAAAAAATGTAATGTAGAGGAATAAATATCTAATTAAAGATGTGTAATTAGGTCCTTGAAAGTGCATGCAACCCAGCCCATTACAGAACACTATGAAACAATCCTGAGAAAAAATAAACATGAACTAAATTAACAAAAGGATATACCATGGTCACTGATTAGAAGACTCAGTAATGTGAAGATGACAATTCTTGCCAAATTGATCTATAGACTCAATGCAATCCCAATCAAAATCCAACAGAATCTTGTGGAAACTGGCATGCTAATTTCTAACATTTATATAGATATGCAAAGAGCTAAGAATAGCCTCACGAAGAAGAATAAGGAGGGAGGACTGGTTCTGTTGGAAATTGCAAGGATAGACAATGTGGTATTGGTGCAAGGATAGACAGACAGATTACCGAAACACAATACACAATCTAGAAACAAATATAAACATAAAATCTACAAGTAGATTCATGCACACATGGACACTGGAGATGTGATGAAGGCTACCCTGCAGATCAATGGGGAAAGAACAGTCTTTGCAATAAATTATGTGGGCTACATTAGCTATCCACAGGGAACAAAATAAACTGTGACCCTACACCTCACATTGTATGCAAGAACCCAATCCTGGTAGACTCTAAACATAAAGTTTCCAAAAGATAATGCTTTCTGTTATTAATGACAGAGTATCTCTACCATCTCAAGGAACTGTGAGCATTTTGAGAGCAGATCTATTTCTATCTTCCTATTGCCCAGCATGTAGCAGGTGGTCAAAATATATATATTTGCTGAGTTAATGAACACACATGGGTTTAACTGCATGGTCACAGTTTCTGGTATCTAGGGAACTCAGAAAACAAGCCAGAGATACAGAAAGCTACGAATATAGCAAACTATAATTAAATACATGCATATTTATTTTGACTGCAGATTGAAGTATAATGCAAAAAAAAAAGCATTTAAATATATTTTATGATTCTGATAACACCATCTATGACACTTGTGGACTTGTCTTTCCCTGGTGGCCACACTGTCAAGTTAAATGATTCAGTTGACACTCACTTCGGAGGAGAAGTAGGGTCTTCACAGAGCCCTTTCTCCCCCAACTATTATTTACACAGCTGCTCACTTTTGTCCTTCTGCCCCAGCTTCAATAGACCTCTTCAGAGTAGCAATTACTGACCCCCTAACCCCCACCCCCACTGCCTACAATTTTCTGTCACTTTGCTCTATTCTTCAATTCTTTCACAGCCCCATTACTACTTACAATTATCTATTTTATTGCATATTTTTATTTGACTATTTTCCCCACTAGGTTGTAAGTGTCACAAAGGCAGTAACCATGTCAGTTTTGTTCAGTATTATCTAAACAGGGCCCAGGACAATGCGTGGCCCATAGCAGCTGCTCAACATATACTTTCTGAACAAATCAACTTTATGTTAGAATTTAAGTAGATGCCTTATCTCCCTAATTATTCTATCAGTACTTTGAAGGTAGAGAAAGCATCTTAACTCCATGTCCTGCATACCAACCGGCTTTGTGGCCTGGCTAGTATAAAGCATGCATTCCTTAAGTACTTATTTACTGAAGGAGAAAATAAACACACTCTTACCTTGCCAAAGCTGCCTTTTCCAATAACTTTTAAGAAATCAAAGTCTGTTGGTTTAGCACTGAAATAAATGAACGACAAGAATGAGCCTCCAAGAAAATGGGCAAATGTTAACTTTTAAACATTTCTCAGCACATTCTTTAATAAGTAAATGTTGGGTACAAAACACTTCAGCATGATGACTTCAACTTTCACACTAATGGTAACTCATTTTTAAAACAAAATAGGCAATAATAAGTAATAATATCTACTTTCTAACTTGATATTTTATAACGTTATGCCTTGTTAAGTTCTGCTTAAAAGAAACTTCAATAATAGCCTCATTAGAAGAAAATAATACATATATCTTTGAACTCAAAGTAGCTTCTATCTAACCCAATTTTATTAACTGTAAACCTCACCAATGTTGTTAATGAAGAAAATGAATAACTGTATAAATTAGTAATACCTTCCAAGGACTTTCTAGTTTGGTAATTCTTCCGAAAAGGAAGTTAATAGCTGAAACACCTAGTAAAGTCACTAAGAAAAATTTCTGATGGAGAAAAAAGTCATCACAGTGCTTTGCATATATATCACTTATTATACATTACAGATAAAGACCTCTCTCTGCTTATTCTCAAAAGCGGTAATATAGGAAAGCCAGGAGTAGAGAAGCCAGAGGGAATGCTAACATTGTCCTATTTCTACTATCCTGTCAGTAAAAAAAAAAGCATTGGCTGAATGTAGGCAAAGCACAGGGCAGCAGAAAGTTGAGCATAAGCAGCCAGCAGAGCTGTTTCCTTCAACACAGTCTGAATCGCCAAGTTGTACTAAGGAAAGGTTAATGACTCTAGTTAGAATCTACATTTCCTTCAATTCATCATTGAGAGAAATAGTATATTCAAACATGAGAGTAACACCAAGTCTAGGTTAAATAGTAACAGGTGAAGGTTAGGGAAATAAATACTTAACTAAGCTTAGATGTTTTTCTTCTTCAAGAACGTGCTCTTTGGACTAGTTATTTTGTTCTTTAATGATATGCCGAGATACTGAAATAATTTTTTAAACAAATATAATAGTGAAAAAACATGCAAATCCCTCATGTGAAACACACTAACTGAGGCCCCACTGCTAACTGCTGGTGATAAACCCTAATTGAAAGCAAATTTCTGTGTTTGTGCTGCCTGACCAACTCAGTGCTGTGATGGCAGTAAAATGCTCAAAACCAAACTTCCTCTTCTAGTTACCCTCCCATTTCTGTGCTTTCTTTTGCAGCAAAACTCAAGTAAGTGGTCTAAACTCATTGTTCATACCTGCTGTCCTCTCCTCTAGTTCTGTCTTGAACCCTTTCCTGCCGGGGTCTTTGTACCCACCACACTGCTCGTAACAGTCACCAGGGACTTATCGAAGCCAGTGGTCGATTCTCCATCTTCATCTTACCTGCCCTATTAGCAATATTAACTGAGTCAATGACTCCCTCCCTCCTCGAGAAACGTTCTTCACCTGATTGTGTGACACTACATTCCTTGTTTTCCTCCTTCCTTACCACTTACTCTTTCTTTAGTGTCCTTTGCTGGCTCCTCCCTGACCTCCTTATAATGCCAAAGTGTCCCATGACCCAATCCTTGGACCATGTCTCTTATCTGTCTATACTCACTGTTTAAGAGGACCAAAAGGGTGAGGGAAGCGTAGTATCCTGGGATAAAAGATAGAATACTTTAGAAATAGTCCAATAAGGCTGTGAAAATAATTATAAGAAAGGATAGCAGCAGTCCTTCTCTAACCCAGGCAGACATTACTAAACTGTCCAGGGCACTCCTCGAAGCCAAGTGTCCTCGGAATCCTTTGTGTTCGGTGTTTCTGGGCATTCCCTTCCAATGAATCACTACAGTTGACACTCAAGATAGCATCTATATTTACCACTCCTGGTGTTCCTCAAAATGTTCCTCCCGGGGTCAATTACATAGGGGAGAAACTGCATAAAGAATGTTTGGCAGCCTTTAATAAACTAATACGTGTCATGAGTACTCTGGAGCAAGCTGGCTACCAACCAGGGTTGCACCAATGACACTGAGTACTAGGAGAGTATCAATTAGGCCTGCACGGATGCTTCTGTCGGAACACTTCCCAAGTACTCCCAGGACTGATGGTCCCCTGGGAAATACAGTCTACTGATTTTACACATACACATGCACAGAAAGAGAGAGAGGCAGAAAGAGACAGAGAGAGGGAAAGAAAGAGGGAAGTAACAAAAGTGAAATAGAACCAGATCAATAGTCTGTGGGTTAAAACGCCTCAGAGCTCTACTAAAGCAACGGAAAGCTAGAGCAGTAAGTTAGGCAAGCTTAGGGCAGTATTATATTCACTGTAGCTACGGTTATATCTCACAGCCTTCCAGTTAAACTGGTCAAATTATATCTAAACATTCACATAAAAAAAAAAAAGATTCTCCTATAACTTAAAGGATTGTTGGAAACAAATCAAACCTACTGAGGATTTCCAGACGGTCCCAGGTTGATGTTCTGTGAGGTAGAGTGTAGCTGTTGAAGGGAAAAAACACAAATTAAAGTTCATAATGGCGCTTCCACGGTCAATGAATGTTTTCCTAACTTCACCAGATGTTTGATGTGGTGCCATGTGAAAGAAACCTAAAGCCCTAATTCTAAATAAATGTATAGACTTATTTGGAAACATCCACAATCATTTTTATGATGTATTTCAAGAGCAGTTATAAAGAAAAGGGTAAGGCAGAAATCAAGCTCAAAGTGGAAAATGAATGAAGTAAACTGGGGAAAGCTCCGTGGAGGATCGTTTTTACATTTAAAGACCTGGTTGTGGGGGAGGAGATTATCCGGGGAACTTATATGCATATATGCACAGCCCATGGACACAAACAAGAGTCCGGTGAAGGCCTGGGAGGGGCGGGTGCAAGGTGGAGGGGGTCAGTGGGGAAAAGAAAACAAAACAAAGGGGACAGCGGTAATACTATCAACAATAAAGATTTAAAAAAATAACCTGATTAAAAATGGCTTTTGGTTTTCAAATTTTCCAATAAAGATGGATACTTTTACTAGAGCCTGATGTAATTACTAGAGGCCCGATGCACAAAATTCGTGCAAGAGTAGGCCTTCCTTCCCCCGGCTTCCGGCACCGGCTTCCCTCTGGCACCCAGGACCCAGGCTTCCCTCGCAGCCCAGGCTTCGTCCGGAAGGTCGTCCAGGAGGACATCCGGCCTAATTAGCATATTATGCTTTTATTATTATAGAAGATTTTTCATATAAGCTATAGATACGAAATAAGCTTTTAAAAACTTCTTTTTAAAAAAAAATATTTTTATTGATTTCAGAGAAGAAGGGAGAGGGCCAGAGAGACAGAAACACCAATGATGAGAGAGAATCACCGATTGGCTGCTTCCTGCACACCCCACACCGGAGATGGAGCCCGCAACCTAGGCATATGCCCTGACCGGGAATCGAACTCCTGGCTCATAGGTCGATGCTCAACCACTGAGCCACACTGGCTAGGCTAAAAACTTCTTTAAGTTAATTATAACCAATGAATTTTATCTAAGCAATTTCATATTAGAGACAAATATCATATACATTTCACTTAAATTCATTTGAAACTTATGGACAATCTCCAGAATATAAGCTATTTTTAAAAATAAAGAACAAAAGTTCTGATGTATAATAATACGTTTCTTATGAAACAACAACACTGGCACCAATTTTTAGTTACAAATCAAATTAATTTCCTAACAATACCTTTATGTGAAAAATCTTTCTGTAATAAAAGGTCAATCCCCCCCAAAAAAGAGAAAAAAAAGGTCAACCCCAGAACACAAAAATATAAGGAACCATAACAGTCTAGCACAAGACAAAAGAAAATGGTTCATGAAATGAGAATTACCTTATTGTGGCATAATTGTAACATAGAGTAACCCCCCTCCCCCAGTTTTATTGAGATATACTTGACAAGCAGCACTGTATAAATTTAGTTTAAGGTGTAGAGCACATTAATCTGACTTAATACTATGATTATGTTTACATATTATAGTGTCCCATAGAATATGATAACATAATCTGAAGTGTATTGTAATTTCAATACACTTATTCTTTTAATGATATGCAGAGAATTGGATCATGTTTCCATTCAATAAATTTTTCTTAGATGAGGGAAGCGAATTTAATAAGCGTGGATTAAATAGTAACATGAACAACTTGTCCTCTGAATTACATTAACATGTAGTAAGACTTTATTATTTGGCAATAGTTTTTCCAGGGGAGCACATTTCTGAAATAATAATGAAAATTACTGGAGTGTATAATTAGGTAACTTTTAACTCTACCTACTATTTTTTTTTTAACCAACACCATTTATTCCCCTACGCCCTCCTCCACCTCCACCCCCCTGCCCTCCTCTCCAAAATGACCACACTGTTGTCCGAATAAATGAGTTCTCTCTTCTTTTTTCCTCAGTCCCCCAGCTCCCCCTCCCAGCTATTTTTAAATATTACTTCTCATCACTAAACTGAAGGTGAGGTATAATTTATTAACAGAGTGAGCTCTAATCAAGAACATGTTTCTTGACTTCTCTTGACCTCTATTTTTCTCTCTATAAATAAGGGGTAGGTCCATATGCCTTCTAAGATATTATCTGGCTATTAACTTATCGACTTAAAAGTCCTAACTTGTAACTATTAATAAGGAGTTACAAGTACAAGACAAGTATAGCTTGTTTCCTTTTTAAAGGAGATTCTTTTTATTAGTATTTTAAAACTGCAAGATATCCTCGTCTAAGTTTCAGATTTTATGGATGAGAAAAGAAAAAAGAAACAAAATTCAGATCTAAAGCTAATAGTGACAAAATAGAAGCCAGGAATCTTTCAGTTGGTTCTTTCTTTTATTCTTTTTTTTTTTTTAAGAGAGAGAGAGAGGAAGGGAGAAAGAGAGAGAAATATTGATGTGATGTGAGAGCAAAACACTGACTAGCTGCCTCTTGCATGCCCCTACCAGGGACCCAGCCCACAACCAGGCATGTGCCCTCACAGGGAATCGAACCAGCAACCTTTCGGTGCACAGGACAACACCCAACCAACTGTGGGCTCAGTCTGGTTCTTTCAAAACCAGCTGTCTCTTATAGCAAGGTAAGACATTCTCTAATTGACCTAAACCTACATACTCTCAACATGATTAGCAAGTAAAACATGGGAAACCGTGGTTATATAGATTTTTGTCCTTTAAAATATTTTTCAACAGTTTCATCTTTTTCAATTAATAACATATACTCATAGTTGGAAAATATGGAAAAACTAGGAAGACTTCTTTAAAAAAAAATCCATAACTTTACCAACAGATAATTTTGTAAATTTTTAACAGTAATTTCATATACTGTAGTCTTTGCATAACTTTTAAAAACTGGCTATAATCACACTGTGTGAATATGCATATAAAATGTTATACCCTGATTTCATCTAATAGTATGTCAAAACTTAAAATATATCTTCAAAAATATTTTTTAAATGTACAATGTATAGAGACATACTATTTGATTGATGAATGTTTAATGTGATTTTACTTTTTCATTATAAATCATACTAAACCAAACATCTTTGTCTTTTTTCCATAGGAAGGATTACTTCTTGCCTCAACTCCCAAAGGACATGAATATTTATGTCTGATTCATATTGCCAAGTTGCTTTCCAAAAGAGTTGCATAAATTTATAATGACACCAGTAATGCCCAAGGGTGCCCATTGTACCTTACCTTCTCAGTCCTACAGTATTTTATTTACGTTACATTTTAGTTAACTTGATAGAGAGGAAAAAAATCTCATTTAAAAATACTCTTCTATTGGTATCAAGGCTGAACATTTTCCCATACATTTATTTACAAACAGTATTTCTTCATGTTCCTTTTTCTTTTATCTACTGGGATCTTAAATATTCTTTTGAAAAATCCACTTATATGTGCTTTTTATATAGACACTACCTCATTAGTTACAAATGCTTTCCAGTTACTCTTTGGATTAGTTGCAAAAGTATAAGATAAAAAGATTCTTTTATGTTGTCCTAGGAGCAACCATATCACAGATGAAAAAGTTAAACCTGTTCTCTTAACTGAGCATCCCCTTGGGGTCTCAGAGAAACATTACTACTTTCCAGCAGTTGCAAAAAAGGAATACATCTATTATCAAATGAAGGTTCTAGCTATGGGACAGTCATGTTCCAACTCATAATATTATCTTTTAAGTTACAAAAAGAGAACCATGACATAATTAAAAGAAATTATAAAAACAAAGATGCCCTCCAACCCAAAACCTCTGATTTGCATGTATATATTTTAATAAACAATCTTGAATTATAAAGGTATTATCATATTTATAACACTTGTAATTATAACTTGAATTGCTATCTAATAATCCGTTAAGTAAAATTATTATAATTTACCTTTCCCAGATAATTTTTAAAGTAAATGCAGAAGAATAGCTTCGTAATAAGGCATGAACTTATTATATTTATCAGAATTTATTAACAAAAATAAAAATATCCACCCAGCCAGTGTGGCTCAACGATTGAGCACTGACCTATGAATCAGGAGGTCACGGTTTGATCCCTGGTCAGGGCACATGCCTGGGTTTCGGGCCCAATATCCAGTAGGGGGTGTGCAGGAGGCAGCCAATCAATGATTCTCTCTCATCATTGATGTTTCTATCTCTCTCTCCCTCTCCCTTCCTCTCTGAAATCAATAAAAATATATTTAAAAAATAATATCAAAATAAATAAAAAATTAAAATATCCTACTCAAGTATAGTGATGAAGATGCAGGCAAATAGTGACTAAAAAAATCAGATGTAAAGTGAAGAGAGTGGAATACAAAACTGTATACACTATATAATTAGAATTAAGATAATTTTGAAAAATCACTATATGTTAAGAGAAGATTAGAAAGAAAAATCACTAAAATGTTAAAAATTACTTGGGTCTGATAGTATGGGTAATACTTCCCTTTTTACTATTTTCAAAACTGTTTAATTAACATGTATTACTTTTTATTATAAAATATGCTCATTTATAAATTTGATAATAGTGATCAGTAAGAAGTATACACATTTGTTTTTATGCATTCTACAGAACAGAAAATTTACAATAGATAAAATGACTTTGTTTTAACTATATGTCCTAAAGTTGCCAATAATTTCATCTTTGGGGAATGGTATTTTTTCTGTTAAAAAATACATTCCCTTTTAACTACCTTCTCAGTACTTCTTTCATCCTCATCTTCAGATGGATCTGACTGGTGTTTCGGACTGTCCATTTGAAGGAACGCTCTGACATCTGGACTAAAAGCAAAAATTAACTTTATCATGACTTTGAAAGTATTTCTACAGCTTTTCTCCCTTTTAAAATGAAAATAAAAATAATACCATTTATATTAATAACGCCAAACAAATCTATTAATACTCATTATTATGAAATGAATAAGCAAGTTATTTTTTTTTTAAAAAATAGAGAATCCAACATGGGTAAAGGAATAGTCAGTTCATAGAAGACAAAACCCAAACGGTAAGAAAATTTATCAAGATGCCTAAGTTCACTAATAGTATAAGAAATACAAATTAAAATAATAATGAGATGCCACTTTATGTCCATTAAATGGCAAAATTTAGAAAGACAGATAATATCAAAAGTTGGTAGGCATATAGGGAAAGAGACACCCTCATGTATTACTGGTGAGAATGTAAAATGAGGCAAGTTTTCTAAAAAGCAATCTGGCAATACTTGGTGAGACTGTGTATGCATTTCCCTGACCCAGAAATTCCAGTTCAAGGAACAAACCACAGAAAAAAATTACGCACAGGTTCCGTGAAAGGCATGTAACTAGGATACTCATTGCAACATTCCTTATAGTAGTGAATCAGAAGCAAAACAGCCATCTGCCACTAGAGAAATGAGTAGGCAAGCAGAGAAATCGCCTACAGCAGGCAGAAACAAGGAGCTTCAGCACAATACCATTTATGTGCATATGTGTATTAAATACTTAGGAACACAAAGCAACAGTAGGTAAACAGGTATCCAAAAACATATAACAAACACATTAAAGTGGGAACCAATAGTGGAATGAAGAACTGGGAGTGAAGATCAAAGATGAAGAGAAAAAAATGGACTAAAATAAAAGAGGGGCTTTGTATGGACGAATGAGAATCCCGAGCAATGATTCTACCTCTCTATCAGAGGTACCGTCTACCAAATGTTCTTTTTTTCTTCTTGAGATATACCTGATATTTGTATGTAAATGATCACAGTAAGTCTAATTAACATCCATCACTATACACAGTTACAATTTTTTTTTCTTGTGATGAGAACCTTTAAGATCTACTCTCTTAGCAAGTTTAAATACAGCGGCGCAAAAGTAGGCTTACAGCTGTGAGCATGCGAACAGAGTTTAATCTTGTACTATTATTTATTAACTAGAGGCCCAGTGCACAAAATTCGTGCACGGGTAGGGTCCCTAGGCCTGGCCAGCGATCAGGGCCTTCCTTCGTTCCGTGCTGCCCCCTGGTGGTCAGCGCACGTCACAGTGAGCTGTTGAACTCCCAGTCGGTCAAATTCCTGAGGGGACAGTTTGCATATTAGCCTTTTATTATATAGGATTATTCTATTATTTTCCATACGAATTAAACCCACTTTTGCTGAACCCTGTATATACTCTACAACCCAGGGTTTCTATTCCAAGATACATCAGAAATGCTTGCACATGTGCCCCAAAATATATGTTAATGGCAACATTATTCGTCATAGCCGGAAACCGGAAACAACTCACATGTCCATCAGTGGTAGCATGGATAAACTATGGCCTATTCACACAATGGGATATGCACAGCTATGGAAACAGAACAACCCACAGCTATATGTGACAACATAGTGACTCTCACATTGTTGAAAATAAGCCAGATAAGGAATATGTATTGTATGACTGCATTTGTATAATGTTAAAAAACAGAGCACATTAATCTATGCTGCTAAAAAATCAGGAGAATGATTACCTCTGGGTTAGAAAAGAGATGGAGAGGAGATTGTGAGGGGCTTCAGGGGTGCTGGTAACGTTCTATTGCTTGGCCTGGGGGGTGGCAACTCTGGTGTATTCACTTTCACATAATTTAGTAAGCTGTACAGTCATGATTTCTGCTCTTTCCTGTATGTGCTATTTACTAGAATAAAGATAAAATAAGGTCTTTCTGCTTCCATTTGCATTTCTTAAATAGGGAAGGAAATGTTCAGTTATTTTTGGGTAATTAATCAGCCATTTGTAGCTCCTCTTTTGTAAATCAAAGTGCTTTGTCCATTTTTTTTTTTTTGGTGTCTTAAGTGTGAATTATCTGCATGAGCTATTTCCATGGTAAGTATATTTATTTATTGTCCTTTATCATGGGAAACTTTTTGTTGTTGTTGTTAATCCTCGCCTGAGTATACTAGTATTTTTCCATTGATTTTTACAGAGAGTGGAAGGGAGGAGGAAAGACAGAGAGAGAGAAACATTGATGTGAGAGAGACACATCGATTGGTTGCCTCCTACATGCTCCTAGACTAGGGCCAGGGATGGAACCTGCAACCGAGGTATGTGCTCTTGACCAGAAACCTACAGTAAACTGTAAAGAACTCTACAACAGGTAATGTAAAAAAAAATCATTGCTTTCAGAACAAGTGCTAAAAATACAGTCCTTCAGTGCTGTGATCTGAAAAGACTTAAGGAGTGTGGTGTCTGCACCACTGTCCCTAACACAACCCTTAGTTACATCTACGTAGAAAGGTAAGCTGTGAAAAAGCCCCACAGATAATTTATTCTCTTTATTTCTTAGAATATAATACTTTACACATACAAGTAACATATATGTAAATTGCAAATCACAATAAACATGATGAATACCCATGAAGAAATTATTGGGCTCAAAATGAAAACGTATCTCAAACCCTGTTCCTGGGTGTTTCTGATAGGACATACCCTTTCTGCCTCCATGGGCAGCTGCTGGTCTACAGAAGGAGTTTGCACTCATTAGCACAAGACACACACACAGGCTGGGAGAGCACCATGTCAGTGGCTGCCTGGAATGCTGTGTTGAGAAGGGCTGGAGGCCTCTCGATGGAAGAGAACAAGAGTGGTGGCACGTGGGCCCGAGCCTTGCCAACTTCTTCAGAGGCCTTATCTCCTTAATGAAAATCTACTCTGTGTTCCAGTCATACTTAAGTGTCCTGAACACGTCAGGCTTCTTGTAGACTCGTACACGCACTGCTGCCTTTGCCTGGAATGCTCTCTCTGTGTTTTCTTCTTGAATGACTGCACTTCCTTTAAGTCCCAGGAAGCCTTCTTTGACCTTTCCAAGAAGAGCTGGCCACATTTTTCTGTTATCTTCTAACACCTCTATCATAAATCTTTCCTAGCTTAATTGCTTGTTGATATATGTGTCTCTTCCACTAGACTGGAAACCTATGCCTCTGGAACATAGGAATGACACTCAGCACTCTTTATGTTCCTAGCGCACACAACAAGTAGTTAATAAATGCTATTTGAATGCAGGAATAAATATAACATTGAACAATTAGCCAACTGTTTTAACTGTGCACTATACAAATTCCTTTCAAGTTTAATCTACAAAACCAATATAAGTGTAAAAGGCAGAAAGAAAATAACTAGGGCCTTAAGTTGATAGTCAAAAAATGAGTTAAGAATACCAGGGGAGCCCTAGCCGGTTTGGCTCAGTGGATAGAGCGCTGGCCTGCGGACTGTAGGGTCCCAGGCTCGATTCCGGTCAAGGGCATGTACCTCGGTTGCAGGTTCCATCTCCAGCTCTGGTTGCTGTGCGTGTGGGAGGCAACCAATCAATGTTTCTCTCTCACATCAATGTCTCTCTCTCTTGATCTCTCCTTCCCACTCTTTCTAAAAATCAATGGAAAAATATCTTTTGGTGAGGATTAACAATACAAAAAAAAAAAAAAAAGACCAAGGGGAAATGCTTGAGGAAGATTTTACAAATATACACACACATTATGTGTAGCACAATGACATTCCACAGAACATATAAAATCTGCATCAGTAACTTATGCAATATTCTTAGGTTTGGTTTCAGTGCCTCTTCAGAACACAATGAAAATTACTTACTGGTTGTAAAGTTCTGGATACCTAACTAAGTTCTGAATGAATTCATTCAGTCCTGCTCTTCTTTGTTTGATAAAATCTGTTAAGAGAGATATAAGCTATTAGGATTATTTATGTCAGACTACGTAATTATCAATACAGTTATGTAAGAATAGATAAGAGCCATTTCTTAATTTATGTTTCTTGATTTACAACAAAAAACAAATACTTAGAAATATATATTTTAAAATCCATAAATACAATGATTATAAAAATAAAATAAAGCAGATAGCATATCTCCCAAAAGAAAATTCTACAAAAAGAGAGACTATTTTAGGTTCTAAATAGATTCACTATAAAAACTGGAAGCATTCGCTTTGTCCAACTCCTCCTGCACTACCAAGTAAGAAATAAAAATGAACACTATGACACTGGTGACTGAAAAAAAAATCATGCTAATTAAAAACAAAACAAAACAAGAATTACTGGAAATCCTTGCAACTGGGGAATGATTAATTGGTTACTTGAGTTTCATCAAAACTCTGATGCTAAAAAACAAACAAACCCACCCTTAAAAAAATACACTGGAACATTTCCTAACAAATAATTGTCCAGTCTCTTCAAAGTGTTTTGACTGTTTATAACTGAGGTTCATGCAACAGCAGTTAAGCACAAAGATTTCTTAGAATTTGAAAACTTTATTCAAGTATTTTGCCTCTGCTACTTATTAGCTAACTGACCTTGAACCTTTCTAAGATTTAAATCCTTACTTGTAAAATGGGAACAAGAACAATATTTATACCTCATACTGTTGTTACAGGATTAAATGTGATTGCATATAAGTTTACAGAACGCCTGGTAGAAAAGAGCATAATCTTCAGCTATTAGTATTTTTGTTGTTATTTCATCAAAAAGCCATCATCCTAACCTTAAATTCTTAAGAAATGCAGATGGTCCCTGACTTACAATGGTCCGACTTAGGATTTTTCAACTTTACAATGGTGTGAAAGAGCTAAGAACTCAGTAGAAACCATACTTTGAATTTTGATCTTTCCCCAGGCTATCAATGTGCAGTATGATACTCTCTATGGCAACAAGATGATTTTGCCAACAATAGGCTAATGTAAGTGTTCTGAACACATTTGAGGTCTAGGCTAGGCTAAGCTATGATGTATTCAATAGGTGCATTCAATGCATTTTCAATTTATGATATTTTCAACATACGATGGGTTTATCAGAATGTCATGTAAGTCAAGGAGTACCTGAATACTCTAAAAACGGAAGAAACAGGAGACTTGAGAGAGTATCTCAAAATAGCGAATGTCTCTATAAAAACCTACAAACAACATTCAACTTCACAGTGAGTTTTGGTTTAATAAAATAATTTCTACTCAACAAACATTTAATATAGTGTTTTTCACCCCAATTATGGGTTGCTTCTAGTCGTGTAGGTTTTATTTCCATTTCTTAAAAGAACAAATATAAATTAGATCTGGTCTCTTAGATACAGATGCACTTGGCAGCTGTTTCTTGTTCCACTATGAATTTCTTGAAGAATTTCAGGAAGGTATCTTGTAAAACTCTTCCAAGGGCATTCTTTCTGTCACCAGACAGTAGTAAAGCATATGTGAGGTTTTCACTAAAAACTATACTTGCCCAGCCGGTGTGGCTCAATGGTTGAGAGTCGACCTATGAACCAGGAGGTCACAGTTCGATTCCTGGTCAGGACACATGCCCAGGTTGCGGGCTTGATCCCCAGTGGGGGGGTGTGTGGAAGCCAATCAATGATTCTCATCACTGATGTTTCTTTCTCTCTCTCCCCCTCTCCCTTCCTCTCTGAAATCAATAAAAAATATATATATAAAAAAACTATACTTGAAAGACAATCCGTTTTCTGGAACTGGATTTAGTAACATAGAGAACTAAAATGAATGACTATATTTGAGATACTTAAATAAAATCTAGTGATCACATGGAAGCATCTCTAAATTGTTCTGTGGATTTTCCCTGCTGGTACATTTGATACTGGGAGACGGGTTGTGGTAAGAGAGAGTGATTTGCTTTCTTCAGGGAGCTGTATCCCATGCTGCACTAAGTGCTACTTGTCTTTCCACTTCATTACTGACTTCAAACAGTTTTGAAAGCCCTAAAGAAGATAAATAAAAGAAGTCAGTAATGAAAAAAGAAGATCAGTAGTAGTCAGAATTTAGGGGGAATTCTGAGTTTTTAAAAAAGCTGGGGGAATTTTATAGGGAATGGAAGGAGATGTTCTGGAAGAAAGGAAGAAGGATACTACTCTATCTCCAGGCCTAGTAGATGGGAGAGCGATGATAACAATGGACTAGGTCAGTGGTTCTCAACCTTCCTAATGCCGCGACCCTTTAATACAGTTCCTCATGTTGTGGTGACCCCCAACCATAAAAGTATTTTCGTTGCTACTTCATAACTGTAATTTTGCTACTGTTATGAGTAATAATGTAAATATCTGATATGCAGGATGTATTTTCATTGTTACAAATTGAACATAATTAAAGCATAGTGATTAATCACAAAAACAATATGTAATTATATATGTGTTTTCCGATGGTCTTAGGCGACCTCTGTGAAAGGGTCGTTCGACCCCCAAAGGGGTCGTGGCCCACAGGTTGAGAACCGCTGGTCCAGGCTTCAGGTTAAGGGTATAGAGAGTAATAAATAGAAAAAATAAAAAAACAAAACAAAAAACAATTATAGTTGGAGCCCTGGGTAGGTGTCTCAGTTGGTTGGAGCGTCGTCCCATGCACCAAATGGTTGCGGGTTCAACCCCCGGTAGAGGTGTGTATGTGAGGCAACTGATTGATGTTTCTCTCTCACATTAATGTTTCATTCTCTCCTTTCCTCTATCTCTAAAATCATATCCTCGAATGAGGATTAAAAAAAAAAAAAGAATAATAGTTGGAGATATATATATTTTTAAAATCTCTCCAATTAAGAATTTATGTGACTATGTATATTATTTAGAATTTTACTGTATTTTTTCTTATACTATTGAGTAAAATAAAATGTATTTTAAATAAAATTTAATAATATTCTATTAAAAATAAATTTAAATTATTAAAAAAAAGAATTTATGTGAATGTATCTATTGTTATTCAAGAGTTTTCAATTAGAGATCCAAAAGAACATAGTGCTTAGATAATAAAATGAAAGCTTTAGTCTCCAGAATAAGTATTAAACTGACCTATAAAGATTTGTCATTTCAGTGCTTCTAGAAAAATCATCCAAAAGGAGAAAATCTCCAACACTATAGAACAGGGGGTAAAAAAAATCAAATTTTGACTGAAGGTTTTTCTGTCCTAACACGGCTACTGGTGGTCAGAGTGACCTGATCATACTCGCGATCAAAGGATATTTAGAGCCCGCAGGGACCACGGAGATCCTTTATCCCTCACGCACGCCTTTCAGATCAGGAAACAGGGTCAGAGTTCTGTAATGTTCCAAACAAGCAATTTTTAAAGAAAATGCACAGAAGTTTATGAATTTTGTTTCTAAAGGCACCATGCTTTAAGCAGAGAGTAGAGTAAGGGAATAAAAGAGACGAACCTGGATGAGTAATTCTCCACATATTAGCTGTGATGCTTGGGAGAGTGGCTTAGCCTCTAGTTTCCTGTGAACGACGTAGTTACAAACGCGAATAAAAAATTTTACATATACTAGGGGAAGTGAGAATCCTCACCAATCCCGAGGTTCAAAAAGTGTAAAAAAAATAAAGAGCTTCCAGTTGAGAGGGTTACAAGGGGTCATCCTGCAGCCTCACGGGGGGGAACTAAGCTTTAACTACAGTAGGAAAGTGAGAGTAATATGAAAAAGATGAAGGATAAAGAGAAGGTTGTTCAACCTGGGCAGAATTCCACACAGTACAATGAAAAGGTTTGGAGGGAAAGAATGGGAAAAAGTGCAGTAAAGATAAGCAACTGGAGAGCTATTTAGTAGAGAGCAATTTGACGAGAGAGAGCAGACATGTAGGAAACCACAGGTTTAATGGGTTACAGGGTTACAAGCAAATGAATTGAGGAAGTAAGATGGTGTGGAGGGAGGGCTCTCTGGTCTTTCAGGATTCACCTACTACTCAGATAGATGACTTTTCTGATAGGATGCCTGGTAGAAAAAGAGACTTCTGTCTCTCTCTGAGTAGCCACTTGTGACCTGGATCGATTTCTCGGATTCTAGTGAAAAGCTCCCGGCTTGGGGCTTCAGACATAAGGGCTCCAGATTCCTGAGATCCTTTGTGGCATTACACTCCCCAAGGGGGAGCAATAGGACATTTTTTAGAATCCCATTCAGAGGCTTGTAGGGTGCTGGTAGAGAGCATACTTTCAATAAATGCTTCTCGATGTAACAAAGAATGTCCTTCGTGGTTAGCAAAGTACCCCAAATAATCCTTGATGACAAAAAAAAATTATCTGAAACCAGACTGCTTAAATTTATCTTCCAAAATTGACATTTACTAGATGTCTGTGACCCTAACTATGCTTCGATTTCCTTATCTATAAAATCATGATGATAATAATAATACCCAACTCAAAGGGTTGTTGTGAGGACTCAATGAATTACAACATGTGATGTGTTTAAAACAATGCTGGGTACACAGTAAACACCTTCCTGAGACATTGTTTTCATAAAGCACGAGATCAATTAGCTTTGTAAACTTTTATATTAGCATACAGTACAATGAATGAGTTAACTATGTCTTCAGACTTCAACTATCACTTATGTCTGGGTCTATGAAGTTACTGCTTACCGGGATCAAAATTATCACCAAATATTCGCTTGGCAGGAATCTTCAGGGCCATAGTGGGAAATTGTTTCTTTAACTAGAATTTTAAAAAGTAACATTATATGAACTTAATTTTATAAGTTTTCTACTTATGCACGCACCAAAATAAAATACAATCTATTTGTGAGAAAATCCATTGTAAGACATACTTTTAACTATATCATGAGCAAATGTACAATATTGAGTTATACCAATAAAATACCATAGACTGTCTAATCATCTTATTTTGTGCCAATAGAACAGTTAGCAGCTTTGTGACCTTGATAAGTTACTTAACATCTCTGTACCTCAGTTTTCTTGCCTGCAAAATAGGGATAATTTTAGCACTTACCTTACAGACTTGTGAGGCTTAAAGGAAATCATTTACGTCAAGGGCTTAGACTAGAATCTAGTATATACATTTTGAATACATATTACTCACCAATTATTACCTCAGGGGCAGATGTGATCTTTGTGTTCTCTCTATATGAACAGATTGACAATTGTTTTCTAAGAAAGCTGATGAATTTTGCTTTTAACATTCTCTACTTCAGCCTTCCCCCTATTGCTATTCTAAAACATTTATCAGATTTGTTTATCCCCAGAGAAGGAACAACTAGGCCCCGAGGAACTTAAGTTTGTAGCAGTAAAGTCATAAATAAGGGTTAATGCTTATTTTTATTATAACCTCCAGGTAAGAGTCCTCCCTACCCCCTCTCCCACACACAGAAACTATCTAACTAGCAACTGACAGGAAATAGAAAGAACAGAAGAATGTATTAATCACTCTACACCACTGGCATGCTATCAGCAAAATCCAGACTGAAAAGTCTGTAGACAAATGACACTGCTTTTTCCACAAAAAGCTGTAAAGGCAAGATAAGAGAGGTGGAAGATTAAAAGACACTTAATAGACCTATCAACCAGTCACATAAATACTGAGTGATTATTTGATGGTAAGACATGATCATTAGTTTAGTTCTAGATGTGATAATGTTATGTGTGTGTGTTTTTAAGGACCTTTATCTTTTTCAGAGATGATACTAAAATATTTACAGATGAAATGATACGATGAGTGAATTATGCTTCAGAATTACAGGGGGCCGGCTAGGGCCAGAGATGAAACAGGAATGGCCATTTAATTGTTGAAGCTGGATGGTACATTATATTATTTTCTGTGTTTGTACTAGTCGTTCTACCTCTGTAGGTATTAAGCAATTTCTACAATAAAAAGTTTAAAAATGTAAACAGTCATAAAAGCCCATGTAACCGATAATTAAAATGCTTAGAGATTGGAAATTATATTTTTTGTCTCTTATTGTAAAAGAGGCATAAGAATTTGTATTTTCAAACTTAGGGAAATCAGGCTTAGTTTAAACTCACTCGTATAGTTTGAAAGAACACAACTAATACCATTCCCCTGTTTTTGTCTTGGCCCCTCCCCCCAGGAGGCAGAATTGAAAGGGGTTATATAAAATGAGAAAGGAAACGAGAAGAAAAAAAAACAGAACAAAAAAAGAGAAATACAGGAAAAATGAGGAAGATGGATAATAAAAACTCAACTACATGTTAAGAAAATTGTCCGCAAAAATACTTAAAATGGGATGTTTGATGGAAAAAGAGAAAGAACATGACCATGGTGGGGAAATGCCCAAAAGAAACATTCCTACTTTACCTTTACCCTTAAAGATACTCAAATATCACCGCTCCCCCTAATTAATCACCAGCTATTTAAAAAGAAACCATCCCAAGGATGCTAGGCTTTGAACTCAGGCAGACTCCTGACTGATCAGTTTTTGGATGACATCCCCTATAGTTCTACAAAAGGAGACACGTTTAAAAGGTAAGTCTGGCCTATATGATCTTTTAAGCAAAATACATAAAGAAATCTCAAATTTTCAATTATTAGTAGTTCACTGAACAAAATTTCATCTAAGTTCATATAAACCCTCTGTGCAAGTGTGCATGGGTATTGTGTTACCATCATGCTATTTTTTAAAAAATATATTTTATTGATTTTTTACAGAGAGGAAGGGAGAAGGATAGAGAGTTAGAAACATCAATGAGAGAGAAACATCGACCAGCTGCCTCCTGCACACCCACTACTGGGGATGTGCCCGCAACCAAGGTACATGCCCTTGACCGGAATCGAACCTGGGACCTTTAAGTCCGCAGGTCGACGCTCTATCCACTGAGCCAAACCAGTTAGGGCCCATCATGCTATTTTTACCTGAGTATAACCCAGCTATCCGGATAGGCGCAGTCAGATTTGTACAATCATTAAAAAAAAAATGCTAGTCATATACATAATGGTATCCAAGAATTTCAAATAGAACTAGCAACTCAACCCTCATGTAGCCTCTAATATAAACTATTTTTTTTAAATCACTGAAAAAAATTACAGAAGATATTCTCATGTACAAATTCTTACTGGCTATTAGTTTGTTTCAAAAATGTGACTTCACTTAGAGTAAAAAAATGACTGTCTTAATTAATATGTTAAATATTGATTAAGCAATATTTAAAACTATATACAGTAAGTTTCAGTTGCATATGCATTGAAGAAAAACTAAGTAACAAAAGAAAACACAATAAATTTAACCAGAAATAACATGATGATTAGCAATTATTAGAGAGGTAGATGTAAAGGATTTATTTCTAATATTCTATAACATTAAAATATATTTTAAGTTGTACATCTAGTTTTCATACTTTCAATACTTTATTTGGAACTTGTCAACTGTCCCCTCTCCACCCTTTTGTATAAGAATTCCAAAGTTAGAATGCTTTTGAAGAATCTGTTACTCTTTTCTGCTTCTCTGATATATCTGAATATTATTTAATCACTCAAGTAAAATCTCTCGTATTTTTGAGTTTTCTCAGGTGTTTTGTTTTAAATAAAAACCTCGTAAAGTGACCATTACTTACAGTATTGTAAAGCTTATCAAATTCTGCATATCTTCTGAAGACAAACCACTCACTCCTGCCCACTGAGACCAGAACTTTATAAACCTGCGAAAACAGAAAAATAATAAAAATAACACAATATTTGATTGCAAAAAAACATTAACTATTTAAATATGTGAATGTTTTCATACTCATGAAACTAATATTAGATATGTTTATATATGATTCTCCAAGATACACAAGCATACCAACTGAAATGTTTATTTTATCTTGTTGAAAGGTGGCCTTTTATTTTTAAAAAATGCTATGAAATAGGTCTATAATTTTCAAAGAATAACACAGTGAATACCGTGTACTCATTATTTAGATGAATCCTATTTTGCCATTCTTGTTTCAGATTTTCCTGCCAAGAATAAGACATTATAGATTCAACTGAAGATATTCTCTATTCTTCTCCAGCAGTACCACTACCCTGAAACTATAAAGTATTTTCAAAAGTGATGCCTGGCACATAGTAAATACTCAATTATTAGTTCTCCTTCTCCCAGGTCATCTTTTACATGGTAGTTTTCAAACTAAGAATTTATCCTCAGATTTCCTCCTACCTTAATATTTTCATATATACATAATTACATATAATCATAGTCAACAACCGTATGAAGTAAGCAGAACAAATATTACGCCCCCCACTATACATATGAGTAAGTGGCCAAAAAAAGTTAAGCAACTTGCCCAAGCACACAGACTTGTGAGACTAAGATCTAAATCTTCTAATGCCCACCGTGCATCAGAATCAGTATCAAATCAACAGTTAAATTATAGAATCAACTCTCACAATTCATCCCATAGATACTCTCACATTATAATTTAATATACCAATGTAAAGAAAACTGTTTGGGACCCCCCAAATATTATATCATTTCTAAAGAGAAAAATATCAAGAATCCAGGTTTATGAGAAAAGACACACTGATATATGGTTTGTGTGACCAATCTCATCACTTTACAGTATAAGACTAGGGAAAAGAGATAGGAGTAGCTTTGGGGTTTATAATACAATTGCCCACAATCTGTTAGACAAGTTAAAGTAAACCAGGTTAATTCTGGAAGATGGGTAAACATGTATAAACTATCCTTCCCTATGAAAGATGGGTAAGCTATACTCACAAGTTCACAGTTAGATGATACTGTGAGGAAAGGAGCTCCCTGATAAGTATGTGATTGTACTGAACGAATTCTGTAGTATCGTTTAAGATATAATCACACTTACAGGCCAACAGTGGGAGGAGTTAAGTATTCACCTGGAAAGTGAAACAGTCACTAGTATCAGACACCTAAGTGATAAACCATCTAGACCCGAGGTGGGGAACCTTTTTTCTGCCAACGGCCATTTGGATATTTATAACATCATTTGCAGGCCATACAAAATCACCAACTTAAAAATTAGCCTGCTGTATTGAGTCAGACATTTAAGTAACTCACCCCTAATGCCTTGGCAAGGTCAGACCAAATGATTTTTGAGGACCTTATAGAGCAGTGATGGCGAACCTTTTGAGAGAGCAGTGTCAGCATTTTGAAAAACCCTAACTTAACTCTGGTGCCGTGTCACATACAGAAATTTTTTGATATTTGCAACCATAGTAAAACAAAGAGTTATATTTTTGATATTTATTTTATATATTTAAATGCCATTTAACAAAGAAAAATCAACCAAAAAAATGAGTTCGCGTGTCACCTCTGACATGTGTGTCATAGGTTCGCCATCACTGTTATAGGGCCTGCAGGCTGGACGTCCCCCACCCCTGATCTAGACTGACAGAAAAGAGCACCCTACAGGAGCCATAGGGTGGTGATATGGCTCTTCTGGTCCTAACCAAGAAGGTATGTATCATGCTGTCTTAGAGGAAGCTATTAGGTGTAAGATGTCAGAAATGTTTGCAAGATGACACTGCTCACATGGAGAATGTGCAGAAGTAGAGGGTCAAGAACCTGATCAAGGTGCCAGTGAAGGTGAGCCATGCTTCTAAGACTAGACTACATATTTACCTCATACATCATTCAGGACTGAATAGGCCTGGTGCAGGACTGCTACAAAAGGATCGGAAACTTAGGTTTCTCCAATTTCAAGCTTCTTGTATTACTTGTGCCAATTCCTGGTGTTGTAAGGCGGCTGGCTTCCCATCACTACCCAAATACAGCCAAACTAGAACCCAAGCCTGGGTTCCAGGCTGAAGCAGTTCTGCTACAAATATATTTACAGGAGCCGAGATAAAGCCCTGTGAATTATTAATTAGCAGTAGGGTTTATTAACAAGGGTTTATTGAGTAAGTTCTAATTTAAAAAAATCAATAGACAAAAACAAAAACTTCAAATTTTAAAAAATACTTTAATTTACCAAAAAAATCACGAGATTACACAGAAAACAGTATATTTATCACAATATGAAATGATCTTATTGAATTTTAAAAATACTTCTTTATTGTCTGTCTTGCCTCAACATAGAATGTAAGTTCCTTGAGAACAAGGGCTGTGTCATTTTTGCTAACTGCTGTACCCCAGTTGCCTAGAACAGTGTTTGGCATAATAAAGAAACTCAATGACTATTTGTTGAGTGGATAAATGAAAGTATAATTTCGACTTGGTTTAAGTCAAGACATCCTAGGATGCAATTCTGTTAGAAGCTCCATAGTGCAGAGCTATATAAAGACATGTGAGCGTTACCTCGACCATGAAAAATCGGAGGACACCGGAGATAACCTACCGACAATGTTGGCGAAGTATGAACTTCCCTCAAACTTGGCAAGAGCTTATGCCCTTGAAGGAGAGAATGGCCTAAAGGTAAAAGTAAGGATGGGGAAGGAAGGAAAACTTGCACACATTTCACTATTTCATCCAAGGTACACTGACCTCTTACCATCAATGTGTTATTTCTAAATTTTGCTTATACAAATGTGGGATAAATGTACATTGCTTGTTAAGATATTACTACCGCCCTGACCGGTTTGGCTCAGTGGATAGAGCGTCGGCCTGCGGACTCAAGGGTCCCAGACACGATTCCGGTCAAGGGCATGTACCTTGGTTGCGGGCACATCCCCAGTGGGGGGTGTGCAGGAGGCAGCTGGTTGATGTTTCTCTCTCATTGATGTTTCTAGCTTTTTCCCTCTCCGTAAAAAATCAATAAAATATATATATATATATTTTAAAAGAAGATATTACTACCAACACAGAGACCGAGGGGGAGCAAATGGTCAGACACACATCATAGTATCTCAGCTCTGGGCTTTGGTGCAGAGTGTGGAGGTGTTAAGGGAGGGAGCAGAGAGGGTAGAGGGGCTGTTCCTAGCTCCTTATCTGGGATTTTGAGAGAAAACCACCATTGGGGGGGGGGGGTCCCAGCTCCACTTATTTAAGAAGGCGGAGTGGAGCGGTCAAAGAGTTTAACTCCTCAGCTTTCCTCAACTCCCATGTGAAATGGACTGAGTTGAAAGTCGCTTGTCATTGGGCATCTTTAGCAGGGCCAGGTGACCCCCCGGTCAGAGCCTGGGGTAGATCACTTGATTCAGGAGCGGGCAAAGGGCATGCCAGAGCCTCAGTGGGTGCTATAGCCTTTGAGAGCCAACCCAACTGCAGAACAGACAAGTCAGTTCATCAACTGCAGGTGCCAGCAATAGTATATGTTTCATTACACTAATTAGAAAAGTGACTGTTCTCCAATAATAGTCACTGATACACTGATTCAACAAATATTCACTGTGTGTATTCTTTATAAAGCCCTATAGTAGATACTATGGTGGTAAAAAGTAAAATTAGAAATGGGCTTTGCCTCTAAGGTACAAAAAGAGATAAACGACTGGATGACATATTTTTAAAATTGAGGTAGAAAATAATAAATGTCATAAGAATACTATGAGGAAAAAAAAAGAAAGATACTATGAAAAAAAAAGATACTATGAAAATTTTGAGAAAGACACTACGGAAATTTCTAGATAGTGGTTCTTAATATGGGACCAATGACTTCTGGGTCCATTAACAGTGCACATAAAATTATATCCACAGGCATGCACACTTCCTGGTAAGAGGGTCTGTCAGAAAGTGTCATTTCTCCAAGGGCTAGGTAAACAGGCAAAAATCTGCACTGAAAACGTCGTCCCTGTGTACTGTAATGGAATACAGCATTGGAAAGATATGTAAAATCTGGATTTGTGGACATTGGGAGAGGACATTCTAGATTAAGAAAGAAAAGCAGAAATGGAAATATTCTCTATATTCCATTTTTTTATGCTTTACCCTGAATACTTACAGTGAACCTCTTCTTTTTCTCTCTGTGTTCATCAGAGCTGGGAATGCTTACACTTGGGCAGCTTTCCTTGTAGTCCATGGTATAATCCCTTTGGGTTTACGGCCTCAAAGGACACCAGAAAATGGGTCCGAAGCAATGGTCAGCAGAGGACAAACACAATCAGCTACTCCAAAACATAAAACCTCTTGAGGTAATGTTCAAATTCCATCATGCAACCTTAACCGACAGAAAAAAACAAACAAAACTGATTAGCAAAACAATCTTTAAAATACCATTAATTTACTTTTGATCGTTAAGTCTCGGTCCAGGTTAAGAGATTTAATTTCTGTTAGGTCCATTTCAAGAGATAAACCACAATCAAACATTTGCATCCCATCCACCTTTCTTACTGCTAAGAAATTCCGGAAGCTTCTATACCACAGTTCATGCGGACTAAGGGCTACCTCTCACCTAAAAGATCCCTAGTTTGATGGATTCAAAGGAGGGTTTTTCCAGGTATGGTTTTCAGACTTTTAGCATCAGGTCAAACAGATGAAGCTTGCTTCAGATTGGGATCCTATTTAGTAGGTAACCATTTCTGCCCATTTTACAAATGAGGCAACTGAGACAGAGAGAGGTTAAATAACTCGCCTATCCAGCATTTGAACCCCAGCTGTTTGGCTCCAGAGACCTGACTCTTAACCACTGTCCTATGCTGCATTTTAACAACTGTGGATCATTCTGATGTACTGGACCCCTGATTAGAGATGTTACAATAGATCTTAATTCAGAAAAAAGCACAATTATACTAATATTATCATTCCACCTATGGACAAAAGACTCAAGATGTCACATTGATATCTCCTTTGCTACACACAGCAGCCCATACTCACCACTGACACGAAATAATACCCCTTAAAGCAGTGGTTCTCAACCTTCCTAATGCCACGACCCTTTAATACAGTTCCTCATGTTGTGGTGACCCCCAACCATAAAAGTATTTTCGTTGCTACTTCATAACTGTAATTTTGCTACTGTTATGAATCGTAATGTAAATATCTGATATGCAGGATGTCTTTTCATTGTTACAAATTGAACATAATTAAAGCATAGTGATCCATCACAAAAACAATATGTAATTATATGTGTTTTCCGATGGTCTTAGGCGACCCCTGTGAAAGGGTCATTGACCCCCAAAGGGGTCTCGACCCACAGGTTGAGAACCGCTGCCTTAAAGGGTTAGTCTGCCAGTCCCTCTCCATGATTAATTTCAGGAAGTCACTCTGACAGATGTGGTCATTGTAAATAAATTACATTCAAGTAATGATTTCAAGTATCTATCTGCAGGCATGGAATATTTAGGTATAATGAATTTTAACTGATCAGAAGGGGGCTTCCTTTAAGATCACCAAAACCTACTTTGGCCCTAGTAGGTTTGACACTCAGTGGACAGAGCGTCAGCCCACGGACTGAAGGGTCCCAGGTTTGATTCTGGTCAAGGGCATGTACCTCGGTTGCAGGCTCACCCAGTCAGGGCCCATGCAGGAGGCAACCAATCGATGTTTCTCTCTCTCTTTCTCTCCTCGTTTCCTCCACTCTCTCTAAAATCAATGCAAAAATAGCATCGGGTGAGGATTAACAACAACAAAAAACAAAAACAGCCAAAAAATTAAAAAAACACATAAAACCTATTTTGTTGGATTTGCTGCTGGAAATGCAGTCAGGAGGATTTATATGTAGTCAAATTCGTTGTTAGAAAACATGGAAATGTAACTGGCCCCCTCTTAAGCTTGGGGTGCAGCATTTGTCTATGTTAGATCACCCTATAACCCCATAAAAGCAGCATTTGTCTAAATTAGAGCACTCCATAACTCCTTCTATTACATTTGAGTGTCATGTGACTGATGCAGTAATTGGGACCAAGAATGACCCTAGGAAACAGACCCTCAAAAATGGGATGCATGTTTAATAAATGCCCTGATCACTTTCCAGTGGAAGGGGGGGTGTGTGTAGGGAACTAGTCACTGGGCACACAGAGATGGCATCACTCAAATTGCCTCCCACGGTGTCACAGGACGGAATATAGGGGTGGGCAAGGTGCTGGAAGGCCACGTGGATGATGGAAATGCTATTTCAAAGCCTGTGACGTGGGCTGGGCTGCTTCTGGTTGTCTTTGAGAATATGCACAAAGATGGCAAATTGAAAGTCATGAATTCCCACAAAGGTGGGTGGGAAATCTATGGCTGTTAGATTTTTTTTTGTATAGCTGCTAAGCTGATAGGACTAAGGATCAAGACCAGAGTTTGATGGTTATGTGTTGCAGAGCCAGTTAAACATGCAACCCTGGAAAGTCTCTCATGCTGACACATGGGCAGTGGCGGGAAAGGAAAATGATCCTGAATCACAGATGCAGGCACTTGGGCAAACACAAAGAGGCTAAGAATGTTGACCTCCATACTCAGCTGAACATCCCTACTGAAAGCAGCAACTACACCTCTCTCCGGAGTCTCAGCCTCCCAAACCCTGCCCTACATAAACCCTTCCAAGTTGTTTCACACGGGGATGCCAAGTCTCCTCACTACCTACTCCCATCACCCCTCACGGCCTCAAAACGGTAGTTAGAGCCCAACAGAACTCAGAAAGAAGTTCAGCGCCTACTCTGAAAGGAGATGCCTTTATACTAAAACTAGAGGCCCAGTGCACGAAATTCGTGCACAGGCAGGATCCCTAGTGGCTGCAGGCTGCTGCGGCCGGGAAAGGGGGGAAAGATGAGGGCTCTCCCTTCCCCCTGGCCGAACTCCTGTTCAAACTCCAGGTTGAGGGGACAATTTGCATATTAGGCTTTTATTATATAGGAAGTTTGCAGAATCTTAAAAATTTTTACCAGCAGGAGTCTAAGGAAGCACATATGGAAGAACATTCAAAGGATGTTAGACCCGAGAATGTTAGACTAAATATAAGATCACTGTGACCCTCTGCAGGGCCACAATGGATCCCATCAATCTCTCTCCAGACCTTCCTTCCTCCAGAGAGACCTGCATCCATTCACAAGGGTGACCATCCACTGGGAAATGGGAAATTCGTAATCCTTCCAAGAGTTACTGGGCACTAGCTCTGAACTGATGCTAATCCTTGGAGACCCAAAACATGGTCTGCTAGTCAGAACACCCATCTTATTCCAGAAAAACGTAGAAAGATAAAATCACCCATCCACGCCAGGATCCAGCTAACAGGCAGTAGAGCTAGGATTCAAGTCCAAATCTGTCTGACTCCAAAACCTATGTGGACTTGTTTGCTCCACCACATGCCTCTCCTTCAGTGACGTTTCTCTTTCCTTCAAGCTAAATCAAACTGGCAACCTCACAATAGTCAATAATTAGTGGCTAAGCTTATTATAAGCCAAGACTGTGCTTTGTGCGCCTTAATCCGGCTGCTGCTCACAACAGCTCTACCTACTGAGAGGAAACCGAGTTGAAACAGAAGCATAAAAAGATGAAGCTACCTGCTCCAGGTGGTGGAGTCAGAATTCGAACCCAGGTGGTCAGCTTTTAGGACCTTTACCCATGGTGCCACACTTCCTCTGAAGAGTCCCCTGAGAAGCCATGAAGCAGGTTCATAAACTTGTTTTTAAGTGGTTACAACTGACATTATGAAAAAGCAACCCTGTTATTACTGTAAATTTAGTGTATGATTATTCTATAAAACGGAAGCAATTTAAATTATACAAAATTATCTTATGGCCACGGAGCCAAATAAAACAGAATGAGAAGAGGGCTGATGTAAGAACCCCCACAGCTAAGAAAAAATAGAACAAAAAGTTACGTCGTTCATGTGGGATTAAAAGTTGGAGCTTTCGTGGGGGTTCAGAGGGAGGTTAGGCTTTTCAAAGGAGAATCACAAAAAGAATCTGCTGGGGAGTCACAAGATGATCTTGCAGGCTGGCTCCCAGGGCAGCTGGCTTGCCTCGGAGCCGGTCCCATGACTCTAAGGAGACCAAGTTGAGATACTAACCCAGGATGGAGGAACTAACTTTACCATCCAGCTAGTGAATCAACTCAGAGAAGCCCCAAAAGACAAAACGAAGCGGGTCCGATGGGAACAGAACTTCCAAAGGCCAGCCAGACCTTAGGAGGGGCAGCGATTTGCAAGGGTCCTATAATAGCCGGTAAGTACTACATCTATAGTAGTTCTCACCAGGGGGTCATCTGGCAATGTCTGGAGACATTTTAGGGTGTCAGAACTTGGAGGGTTGCTATTGGCTACATGCCATGGAGGATGCTACACATCCTACAATGCGCACAGGACAGCCCCTACAACAGAAAATTATCTGGCCCAAAACGTCAACGGCGTAACAGTCAAGAAACTGACATTTATTGAACACTAATGCCAGGCGATTTTCACGCTTTTTCATCTCACAGCACACATAAACTAATTACTAAAATCCTGCGGCACACCAAAAAAATGTATTTTTTGCCATTTTGACCAAAAAAAAAAAATAGGTATAACTTTGATTCATTCACACCGGACAGCTATTGTTGTGTTGGCTGTTGTCATTTTTAATGTCGCCCATGATTGTGCTTGTGATGGGACCAACATTCAGAGCCCATTCTGAACCAAGCTCTGGGTTAGATGTCGATGTGTGATGTTTCAAGAGGACGATGGGCCATTTCTGACCTAGAGCTGCCCAAGCCTGACCCCTCGTGCCGGCAGAACTGGGACGCTGCTTTCCTTCTGCGTGGTTTGCTGTCTGTAACCCTATTCCCCATGGACACGCAGTGCTCCCTTCTCCTCACTCTGTATCTCCAAAGTGATTTACGTAGAAGAAGGGGGTGCATGCGGCGATATCTTAAGAAATCAAGGGACAGTGTGTGCCAGGCAGGCTCTCGGGTCAGAGCTCTATTCAGGTCACAGTGCTGCCACCAAAGCTGTGTGACCATGTGGAAGTACTCATCACCTAGGTTTCTTCATCCGTAAAACCAGGATAACGAAACGTCATGAGTTGTTGTGAAGAGTAAGTGATGTGTTAGATGTTCGTAGAACAGCAATTTTCAACCCGTGTGCCGCAAGAATTTTTAACACATGCAATACCTGACTAGTTAGTCAGGGGCACTGGCCTCTTCTCCCTCTGTTCCTCTAGTGATTCACACTAACACATAAAGGAAAATGAAGAACAAGCCTGTCCCAAAGGGAAGGAATTAGGCTTGGAAGAGTTACAAGTTTTCTTCAGCAGGGGAACA